CGTTTGTCGATCGTTAACTGCATATTAGTATAACTTATTATAGTGTTTATGTGATGATTACATTTTATTATTTTAAAATATTTATTTCATGATTGTTAATTAAGAAGTTTGTTAAAGATACTATAGGAATTAAGTTAAGAATATTATAGAAAATTATTTAAGATGTTATTGAAAATTGTTTAAGATATTATAGAAAATTATTTAAGATATTATAGAAAATTACTTAAGATATTAGAGAAAATTATTTAAGATATTATAAAAAGTTATTTAAGATATTATAGAAAATTATTTAAAATATTATCGAAAATTGTTTAAGATATTATAGAAAACTATTTAAGATATTATTAAAAATTGTTCAAGATATTATAGAAAATTATTTATGATATTATAGAAAATTATTTAAGATATTAGAGAAAATCATTTAAGATATTATAGAAAATTATTTAAGATATTATAGAAAATTATTTATGATATTATAGAAAATTATTTAAGATATTATAGAAAATTATATAAGATATTATAGAAAATTATTTAAGATATTATAGAAAATTATTTAAAACATTATTGAAAATTGTTTAAGATATTATAGAAAATTATTTAAGATATTATAGAAAATTATTTAACACATTATTAAGAATTGAGGTTGATAAGATTCATTTATTAAGTATTATTGTACACAAAGTTATTTAAGTTAATATATAAAGTTGAGGTTAAAGGTTATATTATTATTTATTATTATTTTTGCTACGAGGTTTCAATTTGACCGGACATTTTGTTGATACGAGGTTTTATTGATTCATTGATCGAGGTCTCAATTTGACAGGCCATACAGTTGTATTTAAAGTCATATACCATTTATATATATAATATAGTTATTTATTTCTTTTCTTAATCTTATTATGTCTAATCTTGCTTATAAACGTAGAGGACGAATGGTGGCCGTCAATTCAGTCAGGCGAATCTTCAATCAAGCCAACAACCTTATGGTTGGGGGTTTGTACGGAGATTGCTTGAATGAGTTGACGAGTCTGAAAAATACAGCCATCGATAAGTATTTGAAAATTACACAGCTTGATTGCGACATATCATCTTTGATTGAGGTGGATGAAGAATTAGAACAAGAAGAAATTGCGAGGACAGAGTTTACCATTTTTTATAAACGATTTATTTTAAGTATAGAAGATTTAATTAATAAAAATAATGTAGATGTTATAAGTTCGAATAAGTTTATTAGCAAGACAGTTAAGCTTCCCGCTCTTAAATTAGAAATCTTTGACGGTAAACAAAAAAATTGGCAAACTTTTTATGAAAATTTTGATTGCGCTATAAATAAGAATATGGATTTTTTTGATATACAAAAAATGACTTATCTTAGAAATTTAGTTAAAGGTCAGGCCTTATCAGCAATTACAGGATTAACCTTATCTAATAAAAACTATTCAGTAGCTTTAAATATATTAAAAAATAGATTTTCTAATAAGCAATTATTAACTTCAATTCATATGAAAAAATTGTTATCACTAGAAAAAATTAAGGATGTTAGAAATATAAGCGAATTAAGGAAAATGTTTGATACAATAGAAATACAAATTCGGAGTTTAGAAAATCTATCAATAGATGAAAATATGTATGGATCAATTTTAATTCCCATTTAATTAGAAAAATTCCCAGAGGAATTAAATTTAATTATAAATACAGAATTTAACAAAAGTCAAGCTTGGAACATAATTAACGATTTAGAAATATTAAAAAATGAAATAAGTGCCAGAGAAAATACACGTAGTAATTATGAAAATTTTAGAAATCCCATAACTGCAAATACTTTATACGCTAACGGGACAGATAATCGGTTTAGTAATAAGTTTAACCAGAATTTAAGGCAAAATATTTTCCGTAATCAAAATTTTTCTACAAATTTAATTTCATGTGTTTATTTTTTAAAAAATCATAAGTTTCATTATTGTAATTTAGTGACTGATGTTTTAGCTAGAAAAATATTTTAATTGAAAAAACATGTTGCTTTCGTTGCCTACGCGAAAGTCGCTCGAGTAAAAATTGTAGCTCAAATTTTCGATGTTTTAAGTGTGACAAGCCTCACCATATATCTATTTGTGATAGTTTTAAAGAGAATAGTAACTTTGATAAAAACTTAAAAACAGGACAGTTAACAGTTGCTGCTGATATTTCTTCTAAAATTCATCAACGTGTTTTACTCCAGACAGCTTGGGTAAAAGTCAAAAATAATAATTCCCGATTTAATTATTGTCGTCTTCTCTTTGATAAATTAATGATTATTTCTTTTGATAAATTTTAAATAATAAAATAACATGCTATTATAGTTGACAAAAAAAAAATATTATTAAAAAAAGTTTTTTAACAAAAAAACGATTTTATCTTGAGAAACAACTAGATAAAAGGGTTTAAAAAAATACAAAATAAATTTATTAATTGTCATGGCTACCAAGCAAAATGGCCGACATTTAAAAATATTTAAGTTACCCCGGCCAAACTATCTCAGTAACTGAAAGCATGTAGGTTATGAATTTTTGGCATATGGTTAATAACATATTGATCTACAAACTGAACTAAAATTATTTAAAAAAACTTAGTACTTGACTTATAATGAAATTTTCAAAATGGCGTACTAAAAATATGATTTTTTTGTAACTTGAAACTTCTATAAATCAAAAACTCTTGATTGCATTAAAAAACTTATAGTTTTAATTGTACAACCAGATGCAATAAACATCTGGTGAAAATTTCATACAAATTTAACTTACGGTTAATGAGATAGGATGGCTGGGAGGTCAAAAATTTACATTTTGAGAAAAACTCGTTTGAATATTATATTCATAAATTTTCATAATATTTTCTCTTGTATACTCAATTGAAAAACTTTTATTTATATGAACATGAACCAGGGTCATAAAGACAACCTTTTTGATCATTCTCTGCATGATCCTTTTTTTTTTTTGCATCCACGAATAACTTTTCGTCGCTTTTTAGATGTAATCCGATTTTGATATTCTGCCAAAATTAAGCGCTTTTTGTTAACAGCCTTAGAGAGTATAAATACCAGGAATCATATTCAACTTTTCAAACAAAAGTATGCTTGCTTTTCTTCCAATATTAAAATTTGAAACAGCATCATAAACTCCTAACTCCAACTGCGTTAATGAAACATACTTTGTTTTAGGTATGTGCTCCATATCATTTAATTAAAACTTTCATTCTGGTTTTGGGTTTTACCATAAAAGCATTTTTTTAAGAGTTCTTCTTGAGATAAATCTATATATATATATAGGCTTTAGATGACTGACAACTGAGAGTGGAAGACCAGCACCTGGCTTGTAGGTAGACGTTAAATTAGCTTTATCCTGTTTATAACGACACCAACTATTGATGCCATCTGGGCAATGAGCATGCCAATTATTTTCAGCTGATGATGCAACATGAAACAATGTTACAAGTATGGCCTTTTTTTTACCTTCTAAATTATTAGCATTTTGCCTAACAGCAATTCCATAGTAGTTTTGTAGGCGATCAATTATAGCATTTGTTAATTTGCCTTTGCCTCCAAGTACTTTTACATTTTTTTTCAAAATTCGCAATCTGCTACCAACACGTTTCTGTACATGTCCAACACACTCCAACTTACACACTGTTATACCAGGATAAGTATCTTTAACATACGAATAGCTTTTACAATCACCGTCACCATAATACTTTACATACCCTATTTTGTGAAATAGAAAGGCTAAATATTCTTTGAGCACCAGTTACTTCCATTCCAGGAGCAGAACCACGATTATTTTATTTTACATACATGTGATAATTTCCTAGCTTCAAAGGCATTTGGGTTATTTTTTTTAAGTTTTAGTTTTAAACTACATGCTTTACATGATCGACTCATTGGTTCGCAATCAAGAATTTTACCTGTGTCCATTGATATAGCAGTAACCACTCCATTTAATGAGGAAAATCCATGACGTTGCCAGCTACCATCAACTGATACTGCAGTATCAACAATATTTGAAGAAGATTGACAAATATCTTTAACAGCGTCAGACATTGTTTTTTTTGCAACAACTTTAGCACAATCAGAGACATGTTTAATTATTTTGTTGTAATTGTTCTTAGTCATTGGTGTAGGAATGTTCATTAAAGAAGTAAATTTTTCTAATCCTGAATAACCTTGACCATATGCACGCATAGAATAAATTATTCTATTATTTACATCAAAATTTTTCTTCCCAGAGCATGTCTTTGAAGTATAAAATTCATTTTTTTTGTTGCAATTAGGGCAGCATATATTCAACATTGGGCTAAAACTTTTTTTTTTAGGAAAACATTCTTCAAGTAATAATGCAGATTGTAAACAAATTTTTGCTACATAATTGACTTATTACACCAGATAAAATTTCAATGTCAATAATACGATAACCAACAGTTTTATTATTACTTTGATGTGGTGTTTCAATTTTTTCAACTTTTTTTGAGGATATAGATAAATCTAATGAACTATTATTGAAAATAAGGTCATTTTCAGAACAGGTAACGTTGTTATTAACAGAAGCTACTGATAAAGTTGAATTGTTTGTCAAATTTTTTGGTATACCTATTTCCATCAAATCTTCTGGATTTTTTACTTTGAGTAGTTTGTTTAACTCTGCATGATATACCCATTATTAAAAAAGTATGTTTAAAGAGATTCAAATCATTAGAGAAAAAGTTTTTAAAAAATGCAAAATTATTTAAATCATATAATGATATTATAAAAGAACAATTATTAAATGGAACGGTAGAGCAAGTTTTAAGTAATAAATCTGAGGTCGGACTTGTTCATTATATACCTCATAGACCAGTTATAAGAGAAGATAAAGTTTCAACTAAAATGCGCATTGTATTTGATGCGAGTGCGACAAGTTCAGGTCCCTCGCCTAATGATTGTTTACATTCAGGTCCTTCTTTAACAACTCTTCTATATGGAGTTTTGATAAATGCTATCTTATTTTGTAAATAAGATAGCATTTATTGCTGATATTGAAAAAGCCTTCTTGAACATTTCAATTTCTGAGAGACATCGCGATTTCATACGATTTTTATGGTATGAAAATATTAATAATTTAAATATAAAAAATTTAAAAGATCATAAATTAGTAACATATGTCGAGTTTTATTTGGAGTCACTTCTTCTCCTTTTCTGCTTTCAGCAACTTTAATTAGCCATGCAGAGCGTTATTTAAATTCTGATCCAATATTTGTAAGTAGATTACTAAGTTCTATTCATATTGACGATTTGAGTTTTTGCTCTGATTCTGTAATTGAATGTTTTAAGTTTTATGAAAAATGTCCTTCCCGGCTAGGTGAAGCAGATTTTAATTTAAGAAAATTTGAATCTAATTCGGTTGAGTTAGATAAGTTAATAAACGAATTTTCAGAGTCAAAATATTACTAAAGTGTTAGGTTTAACATGGAACAAGAAATAAGATTTGTTTATTTTTTCGTTTTTTGAATTATATAAGATTGCCGTCCTTTTTCCAACAAAAAGAGACGTGCTTAGTTTTACAGCAAGTTTTTTCGATCCCTTGGGACTAATAAACCCAGTAATTGTGCGTTTAAAAATTTTGTTTCAACAAGTTTGTATATCTAAAATAGGATGGGATTATAAATTTAATAAAGATTTGTTAAAAGTATGGCAAGATATTTATAAGGATTTAGGTTCTGTTCAGTCGATTTATGTACCTAGATATTATTTTTTTTCGAAATCGAGTGCGAGTTGCACACGATTTGAATTTTATAGTTTTTGCGATGCTAGTTTAAAAGCCTTTGGGTGTTGTATATATTTAAGATGTGTTTTTAATGAGAACGAACAGTGTTCCTCTCTTGTCACTTCACAATCTAGAATAATCTCGCTAAGTAAATGTACAATACCTCGATTAGAATTAAAAGGTTGGTTACTGCTTGCATTTCTTATGTCAAAAGTAGTTAAGGAACTTTCATCAATCATTCTTATTTCTAAATATAAATTATTTTCAGATTCCTATATTTGCGCTTACATTGGATAAAAAATTCTAATAAAGTTTATGAAACATTTGTTCAAAACCGTCTTGAAAAAGTTAGAGATTTTTTTGACTTTTCTCTTTGGGATTACGTCAAAACAGATCCTGCAGATATTACATCTCGAGGTGCTAGTATTGAAAGTTTAACTAATAATCAGTTATGGTTTAATGGATCCAAATTTTTTTTGTACTCCAGAGTTTTGGCCCTTCTTTGATCAAAATAATTTAATTAACTTTCCAGAGGAAACAAAAATATTACTAATAACTAATGAAATGTTCATACCCAGTAAGCACAAGACGCATTTTAGACACTTATAGACAAATAAAACTAGTCTAGGTAAAGACGCACTTTTGTAGACGTTTTGAAGACATCTTCTAGACGTCTTTTATAAAGGCGTTTTTAAAATGACGTCTTTTTAAAGTTTAAAAAGACGTTTAAAAGACGCATAATAAATAGTCTAAAAGACGCATTAAAAGACGTCTAGATCAAGGCTAAAAGACGTCTTTTCTGAGACCTGTTTATAAATATGTCATTATGACTTCTTTTTGACGGCTTTGTCATTACGCGTTAAGTAGATGTCGTATATTCAAAGTAAAAACATAGTTTTTATTATTTTCAATAATTTGTTCAAGTTTTAAGTGTAAATTACTTTAAATTAAATTACTTTTTTACACAATTGCTAAAATTGTTGTCACAGGAATCACTAAAATAACTGCTATAATATTAATATATCTTTTTTTTATTAATAATTATTTTGCTTTTTTAATAGATAGTTGACTGATCATGATAATAAGTGAAAATGGCAAGAATAATATATAAAATAAATATCAGTATTTTTAGTTTTTATACACCCACAAGCCATATAATAAGTCAAGTATGCTGTTAAAACGAAAAGACAATATTTTACTTTTTTCTATTGAAATAAAGAACGCCAAAATAATTTGAATTAAATTTATCCAACAAAATGTATATAGCTCTAAGAATTATAAACAACTAAAAAATGATTTGGGATTTTTCTTTGATAGCGAAGGAATAATAAGATGTAGGGGGCGATTGGGAAATGCTCCAATTAGTTACATAACTAAATTTCCAATAAGTCTTTTTACTGAATTAATTATTTTACATTGTAAAGAAATTTTTAAGCAAAACGGCGTTAAAGAAACGCTAAACAAATTAAGAATGGTATTTTGGATTCCAAAAGTTAGAAATTTAATTCAAAAATTAATTTAAAAATGTTATTTGTGCCGAAGGTACGAAGGATAAACTTATAGTTATCCTGATGTTCCTCCGTTACCTTTAAGTAGAGTAAACGATGATTATGTTTTTAAGTACACAGGAATTGATTACTGTGGACCATTATTTGTGAAAAATATATACTCTAAAGGAGAAATATTTAAGTGTTAGATACTTTTAGCTTCTTGTGCTAGTACACGTTTTATACATTTAGATTTAGTTTCTGACTGTTCAGCTTTGGCGTGTATTTGAGGGTTGCGAAGATTCATTAGCAAATTTGGCGCACCCTACGAAATTATTAGCGATAATGGATCGTGTTTTACAGCTGATGAAACACAACAATTTGCATTCTCAAAAGGTATTTTATGGCACTTCAATGTTGCAGCCGCTCCGTGGTGTGGAGGATTCTTTGAATGTATGGTACGTTCAGCCAGAAGAATTTTCAGGAAATTATTAAAAACTGGAAGATTATCGTACGAAGAAGTACTTACAATTCTTGCAGAAATTGAAGTCGTTACGAATAATCGTCCGTTAACGTTTTTGTATGAACAACCGGGAGACGAACCCATATCTCTAAATCATCTCGTGTTTGGCAAAAGAATAAGTGTAAAAACGTTATTAATGGAAAACAGTTATAAAAATAAGGACATAAAAATGCGCGTTGTATATAAAAACTCTACTTTAGAACATTTTTGGAATAGGTGGCTCAGTGAATATTTAACAGAGCTTCGCGAATTTCATAAAGGTAATAACAAATTTGGAAGTAAAAATAATATAAAGAAAGGTGATGTAGTGATAATTCAAGATGCAAATTTGGTTCGAGGACTATGGAAATTAGGCGTTATTGAAAACCTTTTACCGTCAACAGACGGACAAAGGCGTGCAGCAACTGTGCAATGTGTCTCCGCTGGGATAATCACGTATTTGAGTCGCCCAGTTAATAAATTGTGTTTACTTGAAGAAAATAAATTTGATGTTGTTGAAACTACGTTTGTGAATAAAAATAACAATCAGCTATGTGTTACTACTGTTGGTTGCGGCAGTGTTGCGCTAATCAAGTTATCGTAAATGTAAATTAATTGGGTTGGCTGATTATACTAAACAATTATTGTCTCCCTTGGGAATATGTATAAATAGCGTGCTTATCGAAGTCTCGCTCTCTTGGAGTAACCTATGAAACATCAACGGACTCGAGCAACTGTTCTACTACTAGCTGTGATCTACAATATCTTTTTTGTGTTTATTGCATATTTGTATATAATATATTAATTATAACAAATTGAACTCGTTTTACAATACGACTCTTACGTAAAGCAACACATTTAAACCTTCCCATATAAAATCGTATTGCTCTGCACTGATTGACCAGAAATATGTCAATCAGTGCAGAGCAATACAGTTTCAGACCCCCTCTCCCCTATTTTTGTTGACGTAATATGTCCATTAATTACGTCAACGAAAAAGAGGGGAGGGGTCTGAACTTTTTTGACAATTGCTGACAAGAGGGAGGGGGAGGTCAATTAAAGTTGATGTTAACAATTTTTTTTTTCGAGTTTATTGCTTAAGTTAGGCTGATTTTGTAGCCTAGCTTCTTTGTATGGGGGAGGAGGTAATAAAAAATTGACGTAATTTTATAGGAGAAGGGGTCTCTAGAAATCTTGCATTTTTTATTAATTTCCTGAAAATTCTTTTGGCTGAACGTACCATACATTCAAAGAATCCTCCACACCACGGAGCGGCTGCAACATTGAAGTGCCATAAAATACCTTTTGAGAATGCAAATTGTTGTGTTTCATCAGCTGTAAAACACGATCCATTATCGCTAATAATTTCGTAGGGTGCGCCAAATTTGCTAATGAATCTTCGCAACCCTCAAATACACGCCAAAGCTGAACAGTCAGAAACTAAATCTAAATGTATAAAACGTGTACTAGCACAAGAAGCTAAAAGTATCTAACACTTAAATATTTCTCCTTTAGAGTATATATTTTTCACAAATAATGGTCCACAGTAATCAATTCCTGTGTACTTAAAAACATAATCATCGTTTACTCTACTTAAAGGTAACGGAGGAACATCAGGATAACTATAAGTTTATCCTTCGTACCTTCGGCACAAATAACATTTTTAAATTAATTTTTGAATTAAATTTCTAACTTTTGGAATCCAAAATACCATTCTTAATTTGTTTAGCGTTTCTTTAACGCCGTTTTGCTTAAAAATTTCTTTACAATGTAAAATAATTAATTCAGTAAAAAGACTTATTGGAAATTTAGTTATGTAACTAATTGGAGCATTTCCCAATCGCCCCCTACATCTTATTATTCCTTCGCTATCAAAGAAAAATCCCAAATCATTTTTTAGTTGTTTATAATTCTTAGAGCTATATACATTTTGTTGGATAAATTTAATTCAAATTATTTTGGCGTTCTTTATTTCAATAGAAAAAAGTAAAATATTGTCTTTTCGTTTTAACAGCATACTTGACTTATTATATGGCTTGTGGGTGTATAAAAACTAAAAATACTGATATTTATTTTATATATTATTCTTGCCATTTTCACTTATTATCATGATCAGTCAACTATCTATTAAAAAAGCAAAATAATTATTAATAAAAAAAAGATATATTAATATTATAGCAGTTATTTTAGTGATTCCTGTGACAACAATTTTAGCAATTGTGTAAAAAAGTAATTTAATTTAAAGTAATTTACACTTAAAACTTGAACAAATTATTGAAAATAATAAAAACTATGTTTTTACTTTGAATATACGACATCTACTTAACGCGTAATGACAAAGCCGTCAAAAAGAAGTCATAATGACATATTTATAAACAGGTCTCAGAAAAGACGTCTTTTAGCCTTGATCTAGACGTCTTTTAATGCGTCTTTTAGACTATTTATTATGCGTCTTTTAAACGTCTTTTTAAACTTTAAAAAGACGTCATTTTAAAAACGCCTTTATAAAAGACGTCTAGAAGATGTCTTCAAAACGTCTACAAAAGTGCGTCTTTACCTAGACTAGTTTTATTTGTCTATAAGTGTCTAAAATGCGTCTTGTGCTTACTGGGTATGAACATTTCATTAGTTATTAGTAATATTTTTGTTTCCTCTGGAAAGTTAATTAAATTATTTTGATCAAAGAAGGGCCAAAACTCTGGAGTACAAAAAAAATTTGGATCCATTAAACCATAACTGATTATTAGTTAAACTTTCAATACTAGCACCTCGAGATGTAATATCTGCAGGATCTGTTTTGACGTAATCCCAAAGAGAAAAGTCAAAAAAATCTCTAACTTTTTCAAGACGGTTTTGAACAAATGTTTCATAAACTTTATTAGAATTTTTTATCCAATGTAAGCGCAAATATAGGAATCTGAAAATAATTTATATTTAGAAATAAGAATGATTGATGAAAGTTCCTTAACTACTTTTGACATAAGAAATGCAAGCAGTAACCAACCTTTTAATTCTAATCGAGGTATTGTACATTTACTTAGCGAGATTATTCTAGATTGTGAAGTGACAAGAGAGGAACACTGTTCGTTCTCATTAAAAACACATCTTAAATATATACAACACCCAAAGGCTTTTAAACTAGCATCGCAAAAACTATAAAATTCAAATCGTGTGCAACTCGCACTCGATTTCGAAAAAAAATAATATCTAGGTACATAAATCGACTGAACAGAACCTAAATCCTTATAAATATCTTGCCATACTTTTAACAAATCTTTATTAAATTTATAATCCCATCCTATTTTAGATATACAAACTTGTTGAAACAAAATTTTTAAACGCACAATTACTGGGTTTATTAGTCCCAAGGGATCGAAAAAACTTGCTGTAAAACTAAGCACGTCTCTTTTTGTTGGAAAAAGGACGGCAATCTTATATAATTCAAAAAACGAAAAAATAAACAAATCTTATTTCTTGTTCCATGTTAAACCTAACACTTTAGTAATATTTTGACTCTGAAAATTCGTTTATTAACTTATCTAACTCAACCGAATTAGATTCAAATTTTCTTAAATTAAAATCTGCTTCACCTAGCCGGGAAGGACATTTTTCATAAAACTTAAAACATTCAATTACAGAATCAGAGCAAAAACTCAAATCGTCAATATGAATAGAACTTAGTAATCTACTTACAAATATTGGATCAGAATTTAAATAACGCTCTGCATGGCTAATTAAAGTTGCTGAAAGCAGAAAAGGAGAAGAAGTGACTCCAAATAAAACTCGACATATGTTACTAATTTATGATCTTTTAAATTTTTTATATTTAAATTATTAATATTTTCATACCATAAAAATCGTATGAAATCGCGATGTCTCTCAGAAATTGAAATGTTCAAGAAGGCTTTTTCAATATCAGCAATAAATGCTATCTTATTTACAAAATAAGATAGCATTTATCAAAACTCCATATAGTAGAGTTGTTAAAGAAGGACCTGAATGTAAACAATCATTAGGCGAGGGACCTGAACTTGTCGCACTCGCATCAAATACAATGCGCATTTTAGTTGAAACTTTATCTTCTCTTATAACTGGTCTATGAGGTATATAATGAACAAGTCCGACCTCAGATTTATTACTTAAAACTTGCTCTACCGTTCCATTTAATAATTGTTCTTTTATAATATCATTATATGATTTAAATAATTTTGCATTTTTTAAAAACTTTTTCTCTAATGATTTGAATCTCTTTAAACATACTTTTTTAATAATGGGTATATCATGCAGAGTTAAACAAACTACTCAAAGTAAAAAATCCAGAAGATTTGATGGAAATAGGTATACCAAAAAATTTGACAAACAATTCAACTTTATCAGTAGCTTCTGTTAATAACAACGTTACCTGTTCTGAAAATGACCTTATTTTCAATAATAGTTCATTAGATTTATCTATATCCTCAAAAAAAGTTGAAAAAATTGAAACACCACATCAAAGTAATAATAAAACTGTTGGTTATCGTATTATTGACATTGAAATTTTATCTGGTGTAATAAGTCAATTATGTAGCAAAAATTTGTTTACAATCTGCATTATTACTTGAAGAATGTTTTCCTAAAAAAAAAAGTTTTAGCCCAATGTTGAATATATGCTGCCCTAATTGCAACAAAAAAAATGAATTTTATACTTCAAAGACATGCTCTGGGAAGAAAAATTTTGATGTAAATAATAGAATAATTTATTCTATGCGTGCATATGGTCAAGGTTATTCAGGATTAGAAAAATTTACTTCTTTAATGAACATTCCTACACCAATGACTAAGAACAATTACAACAAAATAATTAAACATGTCTCTGATTGTGCTAAAGTTGTTGCAAAAAAAACAATGTCTGACGCTGTTAAAGATATTTGTCAATCTTCTTCAAATATTGTTGATACTGCAGTATCAGTTGATGGTAGCTGGCAACGTCATGGATTTTCCTCATTAAATGGAGTGGTTACTGCTATATCAATGGACACAGGTAAAATTCTTGATTGCGAACCAATGAGTCGATCATGTAAAGCATGTAGTTTAAAACTAAAACTTAAAAAAAATAACCCAAATGCCTTTGAAGCTAGGAAATTATCACATGTATGTAAAATAAAATAATCGTGGTTCTGCTCCTGGAATGGAAGTAACTGGTGCTCAAAGAATATTTAGCCTTTCTATTTCACAAAATAGGGTATGTAAAGTATTATGGTGACGGTGATTGTAAAAGCTATTCGTATGTTAAAGATACTTATCCTGGTATAACAGTGTGTAAGTTGGAGTGTGTTGGACATGTACAGAAACGTGTTGGTAGCAGATTGCGAATTTTGAAAAAAAATGTAAAAGTACTTGGAGGCAAAGGCAAATTAACAAATGCTATAATTGATCGCCTACAAAACTACTATGGAATTGCTGTTAGGCAAAATGCTAATAATTTAGAAGGTAAAAAAAAGGCCATACTTGTAACATTGTTTCATGTTGCATCATCAGCTGAAAATAATTGGCATGCTCATTGCCCAGATGGCATCAATAGTTGGTGTCGTTATAAACAGGATAAAGCTAATTTAACGTCTACCT